TTGAAGTCTATGTATAATTCTTTTCTGTAACAATATATTTTGGTATACATACAATATATAGGGATACAAATGTTTAAATAAATAAATAACACATTGTAATGAACTTATTTATCTCAGGTAGGGAAACTAGTATTTTATTTAAACTTTATTTTTCTGTTCCGTTCTGGAAAAGATAGAAAAAAGGCAGTGAATGATCAGGGGGTTCAAATAACTCCTATATTCATAATAATTTTGATTTTTGTATACTACTCTATTCTCAGACTCTGGGAGGTTTACAATAAATTAAAACAACAATGATTAAAATTCAACTAAAAGCAAGCATAATAAATTAATCTGGGTACTTATGTGGAAAGGGCTTTTGGAAGAGGTACATCTTTAATTCCCTCTTGAAGGTAGCAGTCTGGGGGAACTGGCACATTTCTCCTGACAGATCATTCCATAGCTGAGGGACAATCACTGAGAATGTCCTCTGGGTAGTTGACATTAATCTTTTAGAAACAAACTGCAGAAGATTATCCCCAGAGGACTTTAACAGGCAAGGCAGAATATATGGGCAAAGGTGCTCCAGAAGGTATTTTGGAACCAAGCCATGAAGGGCTTTAAAAGGGATTACCAACACCTTGTTGTGTATCCAGACACACATTGGCAGCCAGTAGAGACTTTAATATTGGTGATACGTAGTCTCTCCACGATGTTCCAGAGACCAACCTGGCTGCAATATTTTGTACTAGTTGCAGTTTCTGGTACAGGCACAAGGACAGCCTTATGTAGAACATGCGGAAACCGAGCCTAGAAGTTACCAGTGCGTACACTACTGTTTTTAGGTCATTTTCCTACAGGAAGGGAGGTAGTTGGCAAATCAGCCAAAGTTGAAAGCAGACACTGTTGACCACAGCTTCCATCTGCGCTGACACCTGAAGGCCTGGATCATGCACCGCCATCAAACTTGTGAACACAGTACAAGAAACAAAAAAGAGCTACTGGTGTCTTGTGGGTGTTCACATATATATGTACCTACCTTTTGACATGCATAGGTCTCGGGCATTAGGCTTTTAAGCTGCTTGGTACAGTTGAAATTAATTTGACAGCAACTCACACAGATGGTGTTTCAGTTTTTTATTGAAATGTGATGCTTTTTAATTTCCCTTGGGGCTGCTTTGTAAACCTGGCCAGCATTTACTCAATGGGTATTTGTCTCTGATTTCTCTGATTTGTTTTTCTGAAATTGACTTCCACCACCTGGTAAGAATGGATGCCTTGAACGAATGATGGAACAGGCATGTTCAATCACATGTTTCAGTCCTACTTGATTCAATAATTACTGTATCAGTGAATGCTTTCTATCTAGTATGTCGAAGTAATGAAATCCTAAGGCTTGTTTTGTGCATGTTAGAAATAAACTTCCTCCTGTGATGACAGATATGGGCTTAAGGGCTAAATGGTTAATGGAAAACTGGATAGACTGGGAGGTTTTTTGGAGGAGGAAGAAAGGCTGTTTTGCTCTTGACCTGACTGAAGTATAGCACCATATGAGCAACCTTTCCCTCTATGAAAACTTGTTTTTATAGTAACTGGGATGTTGAATTTACTCATTCACCTGGAAAAGCCAAAGCCAACTTAGAAAGAACTGGGTTGGAACAGACATTGTCAAAGACAGTAATTATTAATCTCATTTACTCCAGTCCATCTGTCAGACAGATTGTTACCAGAGAATGCCTACTCAAAATGTTAAAACTCTTTTCTTTATAAACATCTGTTGGTGACTGGGCTTCCTAAGAACTAATTACAGGTGTCTGATACGATTGAGACTAGTAAAGAAATCACTTTTTTCCTCTTCTAGTAGTTAGCAGAAAAGATAGTGTATTACCAATAAAGTGGGTGGGAAGATAAAATCCAAACAATGTACTGCACTGCATATGCATCTTACATAGCACGTGCAATTCAGATATTACCATTTCTAGGTAAGTACAGTAGATTGACACTGGTGGGGATAGGTGGATGCCGGGGATAGGTGGATGCCGGATAAATGTAGTTTCTGGTTGCTTGAGTGAGAGTTACTATTAAAAATAGGCCTAACTAATACTATACCACATACCATACCATAAACTCTGTATTGGTTTGATATTAATACTGAAATACAATAATTAAAAGCAAATTAAGACACATACAGAGAAACTTCTATCTTCTGAGACTGAGCCTTAATTCCATAGATCGTTGACAGACTGACATTAAATTCCCCCATGAGCGCTGCACAACTCTCACCTTTCTCAGGCCTCTTGCATCCTCCCATCTGCTGCTTGAGGGTAAGCAAGGTGCCTTTGGGCAGACTTGGGCTTGGGTGGGAGCACAAAATTTGAATAACAAAATATCCCAAGGACTGGTAGTTACACATGGTGAATTGGCCAAGGGAGAGACAAACGTGGGCTTACTCAAGGTGTGGTGTGTGTGTGTGGAGGGGGGGCAAGTTTAAACTTACATATCTGCCAGAAATTGATTTTATTTTAATTTTTATTTAAAGTATTATTTCTTTGATTTTTTGTTTTTGAGAGTGCTGGTTCTTGAGTTCTGGTAAACCGAGAGTCTCCTGTAGCTATACTTCTGGGTTACACATTAATACCAGCTGGACAATAAATCCTGTGCATACCGGAGGTCATCTTTACTGTGTGCTTCCAGACAATTAGGAATCATGTAGGAAATGCAGAATGCCCATTGCATATTTGGCTATAGGTAGCCTAAGAGCAAACAAAGTCCTCCACTGCTGCCAGCCTGAATCATGTGCGGAAGCAATTCCCCCCCCCCCCCCACAATATCAAGAAATCTCATTAGCCAGTTCTGTTGGATGCAGTGCATCACACCTTATTAGGAATCTACAGCATTTCAGGGAGAGAGCCTCTCTGAACAGATCTAGAAAGGTCGTCACCTGTCCCAAGTAGAACGTGGACTTTTACATATGAGCATATGCTTGGAAAAATGCAAACGTAGGTGCAATATTTGATACAGGGCAAAGGCTCCTTGAGACAAACAAGACAGTATCTTGTAATACGTTCATGACTTTGCACATAGCAATGTCTCCCCAGCAATGCTTCATTCATCACTTTAGAACTACACCCTACTCCTCCCATCTTTATAAGGCCTAACACATTTCAAGCCTTAGCAATAATCACCATTAGCACTGCATTAATCTATATTTCATTATTCTGCAAGAGAGAACACTTTCCCGTTGGCCGTCACTCCCTGCCCTTCTACACTGCAACAATACTGTGCAGTGAGGCTTTCGTTCTACTCTGCTTCTGCTTTCACATAAGGTCCCATGTCTGATTGAAGGGAAGCAGGGCTGTGCCGGAGATTTCATCCGTCTTCCTGGTGCTGTTCCCCAGCCTCCATAGACTGAGCAGTGGTCTGCCAGGGAGCCAGCCGTAATTGTGGAGGCTTTGCCTTGTGAGGCAGGGTGTGGACTGGATGCCCTTCTGATTGCACATTCCATTGAAAGTAATGCAATGAAAGTGGAAACTGGATTGCAGGGCATTTGATAACTTAAATTGCTAGGCATGTGCTAGTGGTTTAGATTTATTTGAGCAGCATGCTCATATTTATTTGTGACTCTCTCTAATATGTGTGGGTTTTGTTTGTTTCTGATTATATAGTAAAATTATTTAAAAATAAGCAATGCAATGTATATGAATGACTTTCATTAAGAGATTAATGGTGATACAGAAGCTACTCATCTAAACTCATTACTCTCAGTGGGATGCTTGTTTGAATGTGCTTCCAGATGTATATACCCATCCCTGCGCCATGTCCAGGCAGTTGGCAATGCACGACCAGATAAGAGTGAGGTAGCTGACCAAGCTGACTTGACAAGAGAATCATGTTCCCTTTTTCCTCACAACCCACCCACTTACAAACAATTTTGAATCCCCTTGCAACTGGGTGTGACTATAGCTTATAAGAAAAATATATTCCATTTTGTTTGCAAAATGCACCCTCTGTTTCAATTTGGTCCTAGTAAAATGAAGATTAGAATGACAGACATTCTAAGATGAATGTGGCCAAAAGTGTACAAAACATGCAGTGATACATTTCTGGTAGGAAACAAATGTGGATCCCCTTTTGGTTCTGTTAGTTTTTATTGCACAGTGGAACATAAGGGCCAGAATCTACTTTCAATTTTGTACAACCACATGCTAACTTACATATTGGATTATGCACTGGAATTGTGTGTGTATTCATTTGTGTTCCAATGTTTTTTTCTTGTGTTAACTGCATTTAATTGGCATGTATCTGTTGCAAATAAAATACATTATCAATATAAACTTAGAAAAAAAGAGGCAAAAAAAAAAGAAGGTAAAAGAAGTGGTTAAATTTATTATTTCAGGTCCACTGTGATCAACAGAAGTGTACTGATGTTATATTCTCTGGCTTGTGCCAGAGATCACTTGGTTTGGTAGGTGCCTGTGTGGCTCTGCAGTTAGTGTTACACACACAAGCAGAAGCCCTGGCATAAATCCTTACTTGTCTCCAGGTTCACTGCATTGTGTTTGTCAATGCCAGTGCTGTATCTTCAACTGGGAAACACTACTGACCTAGCTGAGTGGAATGTTGTGTAGACCTAGCTAGGCTACAGATGGATGGTTTAAATCTGCCTTCTCCAACCTGGTGTCCTCCAGATGTGTTAGACCCCACAACTTACATCATCCTAATGTTCAGAAAGGATGATTTTAAAAATGCCCTTGTTTATGCTTTAGGGTCACCATTTTGAAAATTCCAGTTCTCGTTCCCAAGCACGTGACATGCCCCATAAGGAAATACGCTTATTAGAAACGGAAGAGAACTGTCAAGGGCATGCTGCCATGTGTGAAGCCGCTTGCTGCCACCTTTCTGCCTGGCACACTGCTGTGCTCATCAACTTCTTAACCAGGGTATTCTCTGCACATTGTAAATGCTTTTCAGTGAGATTTTAAATGCAAATATCATTCTCAGAGAACTGATTTCTTTTTCAGGCTTTTGGTCAGGCTCACACCAACCACAAGAAAGTAGCAGCAGATGGAGAGAGCAGAGAAGAGACCTTGATTCAGGAGTCTGCCACTAAAGAAGAGTACTACATGAAAAAAGTCATGGAGTTGCAGACAGAGCTAAAGCAGCTGAGGAATGTCCTTGCCAACACCCAGTCTGAAAATGAGCGCTTGAATTCTGTTGCCCAGGAACTGAGAGAGGTGAGGGTAGTTCTTTCACAAAAATGCCTGAGCTAAAAGAGCTCTGAAATCATCATGTTACATTCCCTTGTAAATCCATGGCTATTTATGTGGTCAATTCTTCTTAAATTAGATATGTTGGGGACTATTTAAAGGCATTTCTTGGTTTGCTTCTGTTTTATAATTTGCCTTCAAGTCCAGTGGTACTCTTGACACTGCTGTTCAAGGCAACTGTGTTACAAATACCATCCTTGAAGCACTTAAAAAAAACCTTATCACATGCACAGCAAATTTAGTTGATTTCAGTAGAAGTGCTGAAGCGGTATCTGACGGTAAAGGAAGACCTTGAGTTCTTCAGCTATCATGTGCAAATCTCTTACATTCTCTAGCCACCATAAGTTTTGAGCCTGTAATATGCTTTCACTTAATTGTCCCCCATCAAGAATTTTTGATATAGATAGTTCTTGCTATGTACCATCAAGTCTCCAATTTATGGCAGCCCTATGAATGAATGCCCTCTACAGTCTCCTGTCCTTTGCAGCACTGCTTAATTCTTGTAAACTCAAGGTTGAGCAGTGCTTTATGAAATCAGTCCATCTCATAGTTTCTCTTTTACTGCCTTCAACTTTTTCTAGCATGATTGTCTTCTCTAGTGAGTCTGGACTTAGCATGGAGGTGTACAAAGTACAACAGCTTCAGTCTCATCATTTTAGCATCCAGGGAATATTCTGGTTTGATCTGACCTAGGACCCACTTGTTTTTCTTTCTGTTAGTCCAGGGTATTCACAAAGCTGTCTTTCAGCAGAATGTAACAAATGTACATCCTGATCTCTGTCTGCCCCACAGACAGAGATCAGGAATTCAATAGAGTGGATGGTCTTGGCCTTGATCTCCAGTGAAATAACCTTACACTGGGTGATTTTTCATAGTTCTTTCATTGCTGCCCTTCCAAGTCTCAGTCTTCTGGTGTCTTGGTTGCGGTCACCATTTGAAATGATGATTGAGCCACAGTTTGCAAAATCTTTCTCAATTTCAGTTTCGTCATTGTTGACAAGTTGTGTAATTCTTCTGTACACATTATTTCTAATGTTTTCTTGGTGTTGAGCTTCAGTGCTGCTTTTGCACTTTCTTCTTTCACTGTCATCAGGAGTTATTTCAATTCATTGGTGCTTTTGGCCATAATATGGCATCATTTCTATATCTTAAATTACTGATGCATATTCTACTAGTTGTCATCCCTTCCTCTGGATCCTTACAATACATTCTGTGTACAGATTGAACAGAGGTAGATAAAATACACCTTTGTCTAACACCTTTGTCTGTAGGAAACCATTCCATTTCTCCAGATTCTTTTCCACATTACAGATTATGCATCAGGGTGTCCAAGTGCGGAGCCACACCTGTTTCTTTCAGGATCATTCCTAGCTTCTTGACATCCAAGCAGTCAAAGGATTTGCTTTAGTCTATAATGCATAGACTGATCTTATGAAATTCTTTGGTGCACTCCAGTGCCAACATATATTTGCAATATCATTTTGTATGTTTCTTTCTTTTCTGAATGCAGCTTGATCATTGAGTATTTGTCACTCCATGTAGGTTAAATTCTTTGTTGCATAGGAAATTAGTGTGATGGTTCTATAGTTGCTGCACTTTTGTGCATCTCCTTTTGTGGGAACTGGAATATATATTGAACAGTTCCAGTCTGTGGGCCATTGTTTTATCTTCCATAATTTTGGTATGCTCTTGTCAGGATTTTGACCAATTCTGTCCCTACAGCTTGGAACAGTTTGTATTGATACCCTGTCTTCTCCAGGTGCTTGATTCCTTCCAAGTTCTATCAAAGCAGCTTTCATGTCACTTTCTGATATTGTGGGCTCTTTTCCATACAATTCTTCCTCAAAGGATTCTTTCATTTTTTAATCTCTTTTGGAATCATTCTTCCATATTCTTTCCATCTCCTGTTTATTTTCTTCTGAGAAAATAGTATATTCCTTTCGTAGAATTGTAGCATTCCTAATCCAGGTTTGAACTACCCTTTGATTTCTTTTGGATATTCTGGAACAGTTCTCTTGTTTTTCCTCTTTTGTTGTTCTCTTACATTTCTTTGTACAGACCATTGTAATGCTTCTTTTTGTCTCACTGTGATAGTCTCTGAAAAGTTGCATTCAGGTTTCTGACCCTATTTCTGTCAACTCATGCTTTTGCTTCTCGCCTGTCCTTAGCAATTGCGTATTTTTCTTTCATCATTCATCTAGGCCTTTTCTTTCTTTATCCTGCAAGAATTGTCCTTTGGCATTCTTCCCCACTAGTGTTTCTGGTTTCAGTCCACAATTCTGATTCAGGGTCAGTTGAGTTCAGTACTGAAAATTTATTATTTAAGTGTACTTTATGTTTCTCAGGAATTATTGAAATTGTATTTTAACAGCATGCTGCAGTGAGTGATCTTTTTCAGCTTTTCCCTGATTTTGATATTAAGAGTGCATGGTTGCTACAACATTCTGTTCCTCATCTTGTTCTTGCAGTGAAAATATGGCTTCTTCACGTCCTGCTTCCAATTATGTAGTCTGTTTCATTTTTTTATTGACGCTGGAATTTGTGTCTCTCTGAAAGAGATTGCCTTGAGTTCCTGCCAAAAGTGTAAGGAGGCCAAAAGTCCAGAGCATCCAGTAGCACCAGTCCAGATGTTACTGGTCCATCAGCTGTGGTTGGAACTGATCACAGGCACTCAAAATCCCAATTTTCTATTCATTTTACACAAAAAAACATTTCCATTATAGCTATCTGATAGGAGCACAAAAGTTGCAGGAAGATTCTCAATATGGAAAATGATGGTTCTGGGATGAAAATAGTGCAGTTGATTGTTTTAATACCAGAACCAGATCATTTTACTACCAGTATTTACCATCAGTACACGAAAACAAAAAACTGTAAAAGTTTTGTACATGCACTTTGCAGGTGTTTCCTCTAAACAGGAGGAGGAAACAACCTTAGGAATAATGGTTATTTGTACTTTTGATTAATTTTATCTCTTGCCTGGCTTTAGGTAGTTTTACGTATATGAAACTTTGATGAATTTGGTAAAATCCGATCTAGTTTTGCAGACAAGACCTTGAACTGCTGCACAATCTCTCTTTTGGTTAATGCTGGAGTCTCCCATTTTGGGCTGACTGTGTCAGGGAGGATGCCAGGACCATTGAGCAACCGGCTAAGAATAAGTGGCTCATGTGGTACCCAAAGGTTTTTCATCAGCTGACCGGCTCAAGCAGTTTTGAGCCTAAATGACTGGGGCTATTGTGCCAAGTAATGACAGGCCCCTCTCCCGTGACAGTTGTTAGTGCAGAAAATTTGGAAGGGAAGAGAATTCCAGAAGTGCCCCATATAAACAATAGTGAAAGAGGTTGTATGCAAATAAAAGATCAAAGCTTAAACTAAGATGAAAGCAGTATAAGAGATGAAATCCATGGCACATGGGAACATTACTGCCTATTGAAAGTATTTCTTGATTTGCTTTTTGAAATATTTACTGTTAGCTATAGCTGAACACTGAATGCTAGACAATAGTGGTCCTGTCTTTCCTTCCAATTATGTCTGTCTTTAACAATTTTTTCTTATTTTAAATCTTGATGCTTTGAAACTTAGCTACACATATGACAGGGAAAGCATGACATTGGAATCCATAAAACTGAAGTGGCCCAGCATTTTCAACGTAAATTGTTGGGGTAATTAAAGCGAAGTAATCATGATTTCTCCCTGGCTTCTCTGCTACCAGACTGCAGGGCTATTAAAAGTGGAACTAAGATGTCTTTTTTGTATTCATTCACACAACATGAGAGAGGAGAGCTGGTCTTTTGGAACACTTCTCTGAGTTTAGCATACTGTGAGTTGGCTACTTGCCATTAGGGCTAATTTGGAATATTCCCCATTTGATTTATGATAGCTGCCCTGTGCAAGTCCCAGCAAGCTTTACTGCACCTTCTCTGTTTATGACAATGACAGAGAGACTGAGGGCTGCCTAGATGAATGAAAGTTGCACTTGGTGTAATCTTGGGTCTTCACAGGCTCCTGGACTATAGTTCCTACCATCCCCAGTTATCATGGTCCAAGATGACGGGAGCTGTGACCTAACAACATTTGGGCACCCATGCTTATAAAAGGAAATCACAGGCTGTGCATGGAACACTCCTTGAACTATCAAGAAGAATTGTGTATTTTATGTGTGTTATTAAACCAAAGTCTTTCTGATAGCAACAAATAGTTTTGATTTCTTAAAAGCCTAAATGCTTCAATTTCTGAAAGGTATGTTTTAAAAACATAATATATGTTTTTGGTCCATTCTTTATCCTCCAATCCCAGGTTCATTTTTCTGTTTTTGTATACAAAGTGAAGCCAAAATGTTAAAGACATCTGGGCTTTACCTCCCCAAAACTATCCATCATCTGTCTACTATTTGTTTTAACACATCGGCTTTTCTTTGGAACAGTTCTATAGAATCCTTTAACCCATTCAGAGTGAACTCCAAATGCAGGCTATTTTTAACTTTGTATGTTTCTGCTTGAGCAGGCCTGAAAGTTGCAGACTTCAAAAGAGTTTCTGCATCAGCCTCCTCCTGCACCATCATTTCCAGCAGTTAAATCACTGGTGTTTTAGTTGACTAATACTGAGAAGCTGCACTGTAGGGGAGAGTGCCAAGCATAAGTCAGCTGTACGGCACAAAATAAGTGTGGTAACTTTGTATTCGTTCACACCATCACAGTGGCTTAAACCATGATGGCTTGTCTAAGTTGTGGTGCATTCTAGGCAACATTTGACCAATCATCTGCATGGGTATAACTTGTGATGTTGTCCAAACCCTGATGGCATGGCTTTTTGGATAGGGAAATAACCCTAAAATTATCAATGCTCTGTTGTAGGGTTGTTTCTTCTTCCAAGAAGCCATACTGCCTGGGTTCAGATAACATGACAAGCTTGTGCGGATGATTAGGCAAATGGCACATGCCAGGCATAATGGTCACCATGGTTTC